GTTCCTACTCGGAACCGAATTTTGCTTCCCAACCCTGCCACTGTGCTACACGTCCCGCACCGCCCCGCCCCGCCCCGTCTAACAGTACAGAAAGCGGCGAGATGCAGGAATCGACAAGCAGAACCGAAACTAACATTTCTAAACGAACAATGGCGGACACGGACAATTTGCGAATGAGTTCTGCCTTTTGTAAACTGAGTTTATCAATAATTTGTCAATAAATGAGGGCTAAAAACGTCACTTGTCCGCCGGACAAGTCAATTGAAAGATCTACTTGTCCGACATTGTAAATAACACGTCCCGGACGGTGGGACGTGTGCTTTTTCGCACACTGCTAAGAACAATGACAGACTACAAAGGAGCAGCGGGGGGTGCTGCGGGAGTGTCTACGTGCGCATCTCTCCACAGTTTTTTTGCACGATTTGAGAGCAACCAGGCTGTGGAGGCACAGAAGGATCAGGAGCCCTGCCCTTTTGTTTTAAACAGGGCAGATGTGTGCAAATCCGTTAAAAGGGCTAACCCACACAAGGCTCCTGGACCTGATGGCATCCCTGGCCGTGTTCTCAGGGTGTGTGCAGTTCAGCTGGCAGAGGTGTTCACAGACATCTTCATCAGGTCCCTGCTGCAGTCTGTAGTCCCCACATGCTTCAAACACTCCACCATCGTTCCTGTCCCCAAAAAGACAAAAATCACCAGCCTCAACAACTACCGCCCAGTAGCACTCACCTCCATCATAATGAAGTGCTTTGAGCGGTTAGTCAAAACCTTCATCACCTCCTCCCTCCCTGAATCTCTGGACCCCCTGCAGTTTGCCTACAGAGCAAACAGGTCCACAGACAACGCCATAGCCCTCACCATCCACACTGCCCTCTCACACCTGGACCAGAGGAACACATATGTGAGAATGCTGTTCATTGATTACAGTTCAGCATTTAACACCATTGTGCCCTCCAAGCTGGTCATCAAGCTCAGAGACCTCGGGCTCAACAGCACCCTCTGTGACTGGATCCTGAACTTCCTGACGGGCAGACCCCAGGCAGTGCGGGTGGGAAACATCACATCCTCCACCCTGATCCTCAACACCGGAGCCCCTCAAGGCTGCGTGCTCAGCCCTCTCCTCTACTCCCTGTTCACACACGACTGCATGGCCAGTGCACACACAGCTCCAACACCATCGTGAAGTTTGCTGACGACACGACCGTCATCGGCCAGATCACCGACGGCGACGAGATGGCGTACAGAGAGGAGGTCAAAAACCTGACATCTTGGTGCCAGCATAACAACCTCCATCTCAACGTCAGCAAAACCAAGGAGCTGATTGTGGATTACAGGAAGCAGTGTCCACATCACTGAGGACCTGACATGGACTCTTCACACCACCACCATCACCAAAAAAGCTTGACAGCGGCTCTTCTTCCTCCGCAGGCTGAGGAGGTTCAACATGGACTCCAGGATACTCTGCAACTTCTACAGGTGCACCATAGAGAGTATCCTGACTGGCTGCATCACGGCCTGGTACGGCAGCTGCACCGCCCTCAATCGCAAGGCTTTACAGAGGGTGGTAAAATCTGCACAGAACATCACCAGGACGGAGCTGCCATCCATGGAGGACCTTTACTCCCAGCGGCTCAGGAAGAAATCCCTCCGGATTATAAAAGACCCCCATCACCCCAGCCACAAACTGTTCTGTCTGCTGCCGTCTGGCAGGCGTTACCGCAGCATCCGGACTAAAACCACCAGACTCAGGGACAGTTTCATACCACAGGCAATAAGACTGTTAAACAACTGATCTGCTGAAACAACATCTGTTAAACACCTGAACAGTTGAAACAACATCCCTAATATTCATCTGGCTGCTACTTAAAAATTATTTTAAAATTATTTATCTATTTACCTATAGAATATAGGAAGCAGGGAACCATCCAAGCTGTGTACAGTAAGGATGGGACGCTGTTGACCTCAACTGATGGAGTGTTATGGCGCGTTTCCACTACAGCGCGGAGCACGGTTTAAGAGGGCTGTGACGTCAGCGGCCCGTCTTTGGTTGCGTTTCCACTTGGCCTAGTACCGGCCGGCGGGTCCTAATTCACAGTTTTTCTGGCCTCATAAAATCGTGGGTCTAGGGCCAGAGACGACGAGGCTGAGTCGGGCTGAGTATGCTAAACTAGAGAGAGGATCGCTGGCAAGGGGGCTACAACTACAACAAGATGGACATATTTGACCGTGATTTAATTGTAATACACGTTTCAAAATGATGCCGAAGTAACAACATACTGATACCGGTTAGTAAAAACCATGAATTAATGCTTTGACAAGTCTGCAGACAGACGGCAGGCGAAAACCTTTTAAAATGCGTGTTTTCTAAATGGAGATTGGCTAAGCTAACGCAGTATATGCTCCGACCGTCCACACTCACAACAACGGCCTATACAGACATAAATAAAGCAGCGACTGTATTCACCATGACACAGGCAGTCTGTGGTTTGTACTTGTTTAACTTTTGTCTAGTTTCTGAACATATATGAGGAGCTGTGAGCTCTGAGTGCTAACAGCTAACGGCTGTGTTGTTTTTCTGGGGTTCTCATTGAAGATGACGTCACGGCTCCGCCTACACTGCGTTACTATAGATACTACCCCAGTTCCTAAACTGTAATGGAAATGCGCCATAAAGTGAGCCAGTCCTAACGAGGCCTAGCCATACCGAGCGGGGCCGAGCGAGGCCGTGTAGTGGAAACGCGCCATTAGGGCGTTGGAAGGAACACTTTGAGGAACTCTTGAACCCGACAACTCCGCCCTCTATGGTAGAGGCAGAGCTATGGTATGGCCATGGTTCTCAGCAGGAAACCGATGGACTGTCCACTCCAAGTGAAGGAGTTCAAGTATCTCGGGGTCTTGTTCTCGAGTGAGGGACCAATGGAGCAAGAGATGGGCCGGAGAATCTGAGCAGCGGGAGCGGTACTGCAGTCGCTTTACCGCACCGTTGTGACGAAAAGAGAGCTGAGCCAGAAGGCAAAGCTCTCTGTCTACCGGGCCATTTTCGTTCCTAACCTCACCTATGGTCATGAAGGATGGGTCATGACCGAAAGAACGAGATCGCGGATACAAGCGGCCGAGATGGGTTTTCTCCGCGGGGTGGCTGGCGTCTCCCTTAGGGATAAGGTGAGAAGTTCAGTCATCTGGGAGGGACTCGGAGTTGAACCGCTCCTCCTTCGCGTCAAAAGGAGCCAGTTGAGGTGGTTCGGGCACCTAGTAAGGATGCCACCTGGGCGCCTCCCTAGGGAGGTGTTCCAGGCACGTCCAGCTGGGATGAGACCGAGGGGTAGACCTAGGACCAGTATCTCTTCACTGGCCTGGGAGCGCCTTCGGATCCCCCAGTCAGAGTTGGTTGATGTGGCCAGGGAAAGGAAAGTTTGGGGCTCTCTGCTGGAACTGCTACCCCCGCGACCCGACCACGGATAAGAGGGAGAAGATGGATGGATGGATGGACTTACCATTGTTGGACGACCACTCTGCCTCCTGAGCTACAGCCCCCCCTCTGTGTGACCTCTGTGACCACTTTATGATAAATTACTGTGATATTTTCTATGGCATTTCTTTATGATCAACCATACAATTACTTTTTAAAAATATCTTTAAGACATACCATGTTTTTATTATTTGATTAATTATATACTTCTATTTTATTTTAAATAACTTTTTATTACATGCTATACTGTACATTTATTTTAATAAACTATTATAGTATGACCTTTTATGACCTTTTATTTTTCAGTAGTGAGATGGCCGTATAGCATTTGGATGGTAAATGCTTTGAGCCCTGTTCCCTTTATTCTCTACATGTTGTCCCTAGGCAAGATACTTAACCCCCATACTGTACATAATGACATATTAACTTTTTAAGATTACATTTTATGACTTACAATACTATAGCTTTTAATGACATACTTTGATATTTAACGAGACTTACTTTATGACATACTGAACAATGACTTTATACGCCCCTGGCCCTATTTGGCCGGATGTTCTCTTTCTGACTAAATTAAAGACACTTTATAATGTGAAATCTGTCCACACAGACATAACAGAGATCACCAAATAAACAGAAAGTCATTTTCAGCATACACATGACAAAACACAAAACTCAGACTGCAGACAGATATCAAGCTTTCAGACGGTTTGAGTTTGAACAGTATGTGGTTCTCCCCACATGTTGGAAGCTGATAAGGCTCACAGGGCATACAGTATGTGCTTGTTGCCAACAACATACTAAAGACATCTATCTCTGTCTCCCCAAAGCTATGGTGTTTTACAAACCTTTGTTTGATCTACTGTACATGCAGTGGTTTTGAACTACATTTATTTTTACTAACAAAAATCCCTGTGCAAAGACTAAAACCAATGTTTTCTGTGAATCCTGACGCAGAGTAATACTCTCTGGCAAATAACTTCATTGATCTCCCAAAACGTTTTAAACATATAAATGAGCTAGGGTGTTTCTCAAACCGTTATCATGGGAACTGCAGTTTGAATCCCACATTGGCCATGCTGGTGGTGTAAAAAATATATCTTATTCAACATTGTTTGAACGTATCACATCAGCTTGTTCCAGCTTGAAGTGACCTATTTTAATGCAATACTTTTTAATTGGCTGCTTCATTTCATGAAATGGAAATGCTCTACTTGTCCTTTTTGTTTTTTTGAAACCTTGCTGGCAGCACATCGGGAGAATATTGAAATAAAAAATAAAGTTAGCAGTCTTTAAAGATTCACATCTTAGGGAGGAATAAATTTGCTTGGTAGTGTTGCAAAAAGGATAGGAAAGTAGGAAAGCATACAGTCTTATGAATTGTTGGTTTTCATGGGATTTGTTGATAATAAGAAAAACATAGAATCACGCCTGCCTTATCTGTTGATGCCAGTGTGGTGAGTTTTATCAAAACACATCCTGTTTGTTTACACTGACAAGTTATACAGAATGTCCTCTACTTTGACCTGTGTAGCCCTGCTTGATCATGGCCCAGTGGATACACATGTCCCAGATGATCCAGCGCCTGTCTGATGACACGGTCAACAACCTCTATCCCCCAACCGCCTTTCCCATTGAAGTCAGACATTTTTTAGCTGAATGGATTGAGAGCCAAAGATGGTATGACACAAACACATGTGCACACACTTTATAAAGTAACATGAACATGCTTGCAGATGTACACAATATTCATGCGTATGCTTAATGTTTCTTTCTTAGTCTGTGGCCTTGTGTTTGTGTGGATCTATATGCATTGGTGTGTGTGTGTGTGTGTGTGTGTGTGTGTGTGTGTGTGTTCTTCTCCCAGGGATGACTTTGCACTGGAAAAGGTGGATCTGGAGAGCCAGGCTCAGACTCTGTTGGACCAGACCATCAGCATGCTGCAATCCATTTCGCAGCAGAATGCCAACGTGGTGGACAGAATGAAGTTGATGCAGATCAGCAGGAACATGGTAGGGAAACCCTCTCACAGTGTTAGTCTCCATACTGTTTGCAATCTAGATTGAATGCAGTTGCGGTCTACATTCTTCACATGTCTAATTCTGAGTAGATGCCAGTGGTTGCAGCAGATTTGTGTCGCTCATATGGCTGAAACCACGAAGATGGTTTCATATGTATGGGATTATTGTGTTTGTTGGGTAGAAATCGTTACAGATGCCCACAACATTCTTTAAGTACTTCTTGTAAATATAAAAACCCACATACTGTACACTATACTGACAAGATAGCTAAGGGGAAAAAAAGGTTTTGTCAGTGACATTACCTGAATACTAGTAGCCACACAGTGGTATTTTGGATTGTTTTTAAGGATTTGTAATATGCTTGCTTTACAGAGAATGCTTAATCAGCAGCCTCTACGATTTGCAGTAATGGTCAAGGAAATCCTGGCGAAGGAGAGGGCTCTGCTCGGCACGGTAAGATCTTTCAAATAACAAATACGCTCTGTGTTTAGTTTAACTACAGCCCTCTTCTTAGTGTGTGAAAGGCATACTACTACAAACTATTTTACAGCCTTCTTTCAAGACATTTTCAAGGGAAATGTGTGCATTTTAGTATGCTAACAGTCACCAGTTGGAAATGTCTCTTTAGTGTTTATTGTTCTGCTCTGAGATTCGTGAAAATAACAATTCATCTGTTTTTTTATTTAATATAACTAGTGGAAGCATCATTTTGTTAAATTTGTTCTGACCCCACAAACAATACTGTAAGTGTATTAAGTGCACTTCTATGTGTCTAGCTTCCTCAGACGCCCAGCAGTACTCCACAGTACCAACAGCACCAGAATAGAGAGAACTCGTTTCCCAGCATGCAGGATGTAGACCACCTGGTTCTAAAGGTGCTGGAGGTCCAGGACATTCGGCAGAAGATGCACCAGCTGCAAGAAGAGCTCAACTGGGAAAGGCAGAACTGTGAGGGTTTACAAGGTGAGAGACACAAACACTAGGCAACACAAGGTAAACTGAACACAGAGATTCTCTTTAGTAACGCCCTGCTTCATCTTCGCGTAATGCATGGTTACATGTATTTGTTTGTCTGCTTTTTAATTTCTGTTTGTTTGGACTCAACATATGATGTTATTGATTGTTTGCACAGGGCCGATCCAACAGAATGGAATGGATCCCAAGAATTCAGAAATCCAGAAACTCCAGAATCACATCCAAAAGCTGGAGTACAACGTGAAAGCACTGGCCACGGTGAGCTTGGAAATGGCTTCAGACCAACATTACTGTCTTCTTAGAGGGATATTGCTTGATTATTATTTCAGTCTGAGGCTACTTATCTTTCTAAAATAGATTCATTGATGTATTTTCTCTATTTTATGAAAGAATACTGATTATACTGAGGTGTCAAATGTGTGTATATTCTGACCAGTACAGTATAATATTTGCAGATTTACTTTGTGTTTGTTTTCAAATTTACATTTGGAGATTTTAGAAGGTTCAGTTCATACGTTTATTAGAATATAAATGTAACAGTTGATGCATAAATGCAGTCTTGGATAGGTATAGATGTATTTACTATGTCTGTGTTTGTATGCATGATGTGTATGCATGATGTGTTTTGATGACATAGACATGAATCAATGTGTTTGCCCACGTGCGAAAGTGTAATGTGTTTGGATGTGGGTTGTTGTAGAATCGTTTCCAGCTGCTGAAGGAGTGTGTGGACTGTTTGGATCAATGTCAGACCCGACTGATCAGCAGACTGAAGGCGTGGCAGTGGGAACAGCACAAGGCAACCATCGGACATCCCTTTGACGAGAACCTCCACCCTCTGCAGACCTGGTGAGGCGCACCCCACTGGGAAAATACCAACCAGTTTGATGATTTTTGGTTTTACGCTTTAAAACATCATATTCTTTGGCAAACACATCATGTAGGAAATACTGTAGGTTGTGACAATCATATGAGTTTACGTTTTTGTGTTTGTTCTTTCTTTATTGCTCCCTGACTATCTTTTAACTTTGTATCTGTTAGGTGTGAGCAGCTGCTTGGCGTGAATGGGAAGCTGAGACAGGAGTTAATGCTGATAGGGGAACCAATCCCAGAGCTCCAGGAGAGGCTGGGGAAACTTCTGCAGGTTCTGATCCAAAGGTAGCTCAGTCACATGGCTTTCTTTTTGTATATATTTGCATTTCCTTTTACATTGGAGAACTATGAAAAAAGTACATTTACTTATCTTAAAATGTTCCCTTCCTTTTTACTCTACTTTTAACACTTGTTTCCAAACAGGAAGCATTTTTCCTCACTCCTTTAACTGATTTCTCTTTCAGCTCTCTCATGGTGGAAAAGCAGCCGCCTCAGGTCATTAAGACCCAGTCAAAGTTTTGTACAACAGTGCGATATTTGCTGGGGGAAAAAGTTGCTTCTGGGAAGCCTGTTGTGCTGAAGGCGCAGATCATAAATGAAATGCAGGCCAGGAATCTGGGCAGTGTACCCGGGTGAGTCATATTTACACAACATGGAAGACTGCACACTGCAAACAGATATTCTATACCTCTGCTATCTTTAACAAATATTTAATTTATAATAATATAATATCATTTCAGAATGGGTTCTATTAATTAATGGACATTGACACTCTTTGTTTTGTTACCTGCAGCGATAATGTTGGGGAACTGATCAACAATACAGCCATCCTGGAACACAACGCAGTCAGCAAGAGCACGTGTGCCACCTTCAGGAACATGGTATTATTCAACCCTAATTTCTCAGCCTAGATTAGATAATTGTTTATTTGTCAAGAAATTCAAACCCTCATTTTGCTTTAACAGTCCATCAAGAAGATCAAGAGGGCCGACAGAAGGGGATCGGAGTCTGTGACAGAGGAGAAATTTGCTCTCCTTTTCTCAGCAGAGATCACCATCACAGGCTGTGACACTCCCTACAGGATACAGGTTTGACATATAAATTGTTCTGTCGGTTTTAAACTGTTCTATACATCCTGTTGCTCTTCGAAAGTATGGGATTTGGGCCTTTAGATAATCATGCTTTTTCCTGTTTGAAATTCCATTTAACACCGTGGCATCCAATTTTCTGGCATATCATTTGTCAGCAGACACACATTACAGCAGTGAGCTGACAACAATAATGTCATAAAACTAACAACTGTCATTGATTATAGATGATCTCACTGCCGGTGGTAGTCATTGTCCATGGTAGTCAAGACAACAACGCTCTGGCCACCATCATATGGGACTGTGCTTTTTCCGAATCAGTAAGTGTAATATGTGTAATTTATTTGTATTGCTTTTATGTCCCTTCACTTTATTCTCGGTTATTTAGTCCCTGACATCAATGTAAATGAATATGAGTGTTCTCGCCTTGTCAGCCTCTTTGTTATTGTCATCAGGACAGAGTGCCGTTCATGGTGCAGGAGCGCGTGCCCTGGAGGATGATGTACAGCACTCTCAACAGTAAATTCACCTCTGAGGTCCAGACCAGCCACAATCTGGACCATTACAACCAGCACTTCTTGGCCCAGAAGATATTTGACAAGCCAGATTTTGCCGACGACTTCAGCAACATTTTGGTTTCCTGGGGCCAGTTCAATAAGGTAAACGCAGGTGTATGTCCTCTTGCACAGACATACAGGCTCACACACACTGACATCTCATGGTGCAGTTTCAATCTTACAGGAGGTGCTCCCGGGCCGAACATTCACCTTCTGGCAGTGGTTTGAAGGAGTGATGGAACTGAGCAAGAAGCACCTAAAGACCTACTGGAGCGAAGGGTGATGACACCTCCCTTGCTGTTTAGATATTTAGATATTAGATAGTATCAACCTGCTACAGTCTGTTAATATTTACAAGTGTGTGTTCCACTAGGCTTATATTTGGCTTCATTGGGAAGCAGCATCTACACCTGATTCTCAAAGACAGGCCCAACGGGACCTTCTTGCTTCGATTTAGTGACTCTGAGATCGGAGGCATCACCATTGCATATGTGTCTGCTACTGACAGTAAGTTTCTGTTTGGGCTGTTACGGTGCACACAGTAAATAAAGTGTTGGCATACATACAGTATAACCTTTATATATTTTATTTTAGTATTTGATTCTTTCAAACCCTCCCTTATTTTGTGGTCGGTCCTCCTGAACTATCCTAAATCCTGGATCAAAACAGATCGGACATTGATTTTAGACTCTTACCATACATTTGGACCTCATTTCTTCTAGATGGGGGACAGAAAATCCAGAACATCCAGCCCTTCACCAAGAAAGATCTTGATATCCGTAACCTTGGTGACAGCATCCGGGACATCAACAACATCACACACTTGTATCCTGCATTTCCTAAAGATGAAGTATTCAAAAGATTCTACTCAGGTAATGGTCTTCATGCACACATCAGGTGTTTATTCTTCAGCTTAAGTGAGAAGTATAACTGATTGTTTTTTCCTGCTAACAGAGCCTCGAGCCTCAACCCCCGGGGGCTACATCCCTGTGTCTCTCCAGACTAGAGTTGGCACGTAAGGGACTATTTTATAAGTTAACCATATCATTTGATGCACTTAGAGTAAAATGGCTGTAAGGTCACATGTTTGTGTGTGCAGAGAGGGCAGAGAGGGCAGCTCAGCCATCCCCGCCATCCCCGTGACTCCCAGTATGACCCCCATCGCTGTAAGCCCACCAAGTAATATCTACCCTGTGTAAGTGGCACTTCTCTTTTCTTTCTCTCTTTCAATTTATTTACATATTACCAACTAACTTCCTCTCATTCATATTCCCTGGTTTTAAATTATTGTCATGTTAAGGAGTTTTAGGAGTTGATGTCTTCCATTTAAATATTTTAGTGATGTCTGTGAATGTTATGTTGCAAGAGTAGGTGGTAAACTTGCTTCTTTATGTAATTTCTTCTTGTGCTCGTGTTTTGGTCATTTGTCTCATTATGTACTTATCTTACATATTAGTTATGCAACACCATCTACCATAAAGTCTCATGGAAAAGAAAATACTGCGCAAATACTAGTCCTTTGATTAAGTGACTGAAGGAACCTTCTCCAATTGGCCATAGTTAGCGTACTGTTAATAATACTAATAATAACAGTTAATATTGATTGTTGAAAGCGCTTTTTTTTACTGTTTTTTTCAGGAATCTGTTCCAGCAGCCTTTAGGCCAGCAGGAGCAAGACATGGAAAGTGGAGCTAGTGGGGAGTTCCCTGGCTTCAATGAGTAAGTAGGTTTGAATGTTTCCGTCTATGCATACAATCTATATCTATGTTGCTTTTACAGTGTTTAATGGTCATCATGTGTGTATTTCTGTCTTCTAGTCAGGCATCTGCCAATATGGAAATAGATTTCGAAAGTTATTTACAGAATCTGCCGGAATGAGGATTTCCCATCAAAGTTGTTTTTGGAGTGCAAAGCAGACATTAGGAAGAGACCAGAGTCAAAGTCGTCTGTCTCACCTTCAAATAAAAAAACAAAGGGCATTCTGACTTTCTTCCTCCTTATCATCCTCCAGATAAATCCAACTTTTGAGTAAAAATGTATGAGATGTCTCTGCAATACAACTTGTTGAGCTGATGCTACGTGACAGCAGGAAATCCTTTTATGGACAAAGTCAAACGGAGAACTAAGGAACAGAAAGAATCATCGCTGTCCGCTGGCTCTTCTTGTTGTACACCTGTACACTGGTGGCTTTAGGATTTTGTTGATTGCATCAGTGGACATCAGTATGTGTGTTTTTAGCCATGATGAGGCAAGTATTTCCCTCTTGTATATAACCTTTCCTAAGCCTCAGCTCAAGAATGCTATAATGTTATACACCCCTCCTACATTATGCATGGTAAGGACTTCCGAACTTAGACAATGTTATTAAGCCTAACGTGTTTTATGGTATAGTAAAGATAAGTTACATTAAAGGGACAATAAGCTTTTCCATAACCATGCACTGTGAAACTATACAACATTGATGGACACTTACAATTCACTTATAAATAGCAGAAGTGGCAGTGTTGATGGTGGTGGGTGATGTTTATATTATATCTGCCTTCTTAAATACTTGATAATGTGTATTTCTTTGTTATATGTGTTGTTCGTCACTCTCAGCCAATAATGCATGACCTTATGCAAACAAATGATTGGTATCTGTCTACAGTCTTTGGAGTGATACAAATCATAAATAAATGACCAGTGTATGTCCAGACCTTTATTCCTATGCAAATTCTCAAATTAGATGTTATTTTATGTCTTACGTGACATTTGAATGTTTCTTGGTATTGGAGAGTAAACACATGTTTGCTCATGAGATACAGAATAAAGTGATTAGCATTGCAGTTAATATGATGCATTGCAGGGTGAAGAACAATATTAGTCTGAAAGAGGAAGCAGTTTCTTTACTTTGTGGGAGCTTTAAATCCAAATGTGTTCTCATATTAGCAGCCTTTATCCGCAGCAGAATGTACATCAAATCCATCTTCCTCATAAACCAACTTTTGGATTTCAAAGTCAATGTTGTGCACGTGTTGCTATAATGATGTGTTTGAAGTACAGTGTTGCATGTTTGTTTTCCGGAGGAGAACCTTTTTATCTTTAGATTGACTTTTAGATAAATAGTTTTGGGGCTACTACTATAATCTATTTAAATGTTTAATTGTGGTGACCAATAAAGTCTCAGTGTTTCTCAATAAATAAACTTGTGAAATGTATTTGCAATAACTCAGTTATGTCCATTAAGCCAAACTTTACTGATATCACAGCTGTGTTGCACTTATTGATGCCCTGCTGATAGAGGAATATGTCCTAGAAGTGGTTGCAGGCTGATTCTTAACTTTAACTGCCCCGTACTATCACACAAATAGCCTTATCTGATTGGGAAATGTTTGAGTAAATAAAATGTGTTACTTTGTTAAGTTCTCAGAAGTAACATATGTCAAATATGACGATTTGAGTCAGAATGCCCCTTTTTTTTATACATCTAAGATTATATTTTCTTCATATATCATCTATTTAAAGCACATACTTTTCTATGGTCAGTCTTAAATAAAAACAGACAAAGAAATGATTGGAAACATAAGAATTTTCTGATTTTTTTGACATATAAAAATGATAAATCAATGGCACTGTGATTGGGAAGGTGTGCCTGGTACCAAAAAGGCTGTCCATTCAGTGAAAGCATATTGGTGTATGACATAAACGGCATCACTTCCATAATCCATAAGCCAAAGAGGAGACATTGCATTACTAGCATTGTATATTTCCTATCCATCCAGTTTCAACAATCATGAAATGATTTTAAAAAAGAAAGAAAACTTTACACTGTACATCACAAAGCTTTTCCATTAGAACAATAAATCTAATTTTAACATGTCACTAAAATGTAAATTCTAATCAACCACTGCCAGGGAAATCACACTGAAAAAAAAGGTTATGTAGAGGAAGCAGAAAGCTAATCAGCTTACATGTCTGGTTCAAATACTGCTCTCGGGAAATGTGTCAAAATGCTAACATATCTCAGTGACCCGTCCCCTTCCCTCCATCCCAGCAGTTAGATGTCCCCTCATTAGAGTAGAACAAGATGGCTGCCTTGTAAATAAAGGGAGGAGGTAGGGTGAATGAAGGAGGGATGGAAGAGAGAGGGGATGCCAGGCCAATGTAGAGCTTCAACTTCCAAGTCAGTTCTCTTCAGTCGATTGTATGAAAATAAAGGTGTACAGTTATCACACTACAAAACACACTAATGATTTCATCATCTTGCGGTGACCTTCTCTCTTCACCCAAATATCAGAGAGGGGCTTGTCCAATAAAACGATCTCACTCCGTAATAGCCACCAAGCTGAGCGTAGAAAAGAGAAGGCACCAGGTGTGGTGGCAACAAGCCACCACACCTCATGCAATCTTTCATTTCTAACCTCGAATTGATGTAACAAAGACCCTTCAGTCGTGTCAAACAACACAATTCAACTAGAAAAAACGTGTGTTCCTCATGACAGCTTGTCAGGTTTGCTTGTATTGTTTTTCCATGGCAGACACGCAAAAGTAAAAGCAAACCAACTATCACACACCTATACATGAATCTGTGATAAGCCCTGCTCTAAAAGCAGAAGAAAATCATTTAAAATGTAACCCAAAACAAATATTCTTAAAGTTATCTAAAGTGGTACAAACCTGCAGATTTCCCAATATAAGGCAATGGGTAACACATTTGGTGGCAATTATACCAGTGTTTGTAATGTAACCTAGCTGAAGACTGAGCTCAGAAACGACCAGGTAGCGTTATGTTTTGTGGTAATTTTAATGTAAATATGTGTGCGTGCTTCACTAGATGAAACACAATCTCCAAACTGAATAAATGTGGCTTTCAGAATTGACTCCAAGGCATGATTTATTTGTATCTGATATAAAAAGAGGATCTCTCTAAACATGTTGAAATGATGCAGTATCAGTATGGAAAAGGCTGCATTTTCCCCTAAAATATGTTGTCATGCTTAAAAGAAAAAATCATGATACAGACAAAGGGATTTGGCAATGAAAAGTGAAAAATAAAAATGATCAATTAAAACAAGCACACACACATACTCATGCACAGAGATATGCATGCACACCCACCTTCTGTCTCAAACAATCACACACGTAAAACTAAAACTAAAAGCCAAATAAATACTGGTAAAGTACAATACGTACATGTAATTTACCCAAAGTTCATTAAACAAAATGGAGAGATCACACCGGATCAAAATGGAAAAGCATGCAGAAGTCCACTGCTCTACTGTAGCTTCACTCCTAGCAGACTACGAAATAGTGAAAAAAACAAAAAGAGAAAGAAAGGGAAAGAAAAATAGCGAGAGAGGCCCTGTCCTGAGCAGTTATAGCCACCTGGTCAGCCAGGAGAGACTGAATCCCCACACCACAGGGCGCAGGGTGCTTCCTTCAGTGGCAAGTCTTCTTCTAACCCTCCATCTTTGTCCTGCAGTCCAAAGGGGAGGAGGAGGAGGAGGAGGATGAAAAGGAAGAGGAGGAAGGGTGGGTGGAGGTGAAATCAGGCGAGATTGTCAGGGCTTCGGGTTCCGCTTCACTGTAATTCAGTAGGTCCAGTTCTGGATGCAGAACAAGGATAACAAAGGTGTTTGGGATGCGTGTGAGCATGTGTGAAGGCGGGGAGGAGGTAAGTGCGCGGAAATGCTGAATGGGCTAAGGATGGACCGGGAACTGAGGGTGCAGATATTGGGGTGAGGGGTGAGGGATGGGGAGGTCAGAAAGCCAATCTTCTTCTCCAGGCTTATAGGGCCTGTGTCTTGAGCTCGATGGGATCCCCCCTGGTCTCCTGCTGGCCCTCAGCCTCTGGGGGCCGGATGCCCTTCAGTGTAGCGAGCCTTTCGGAGAGGTTGCGCACACGGGGGAAGAGTATGAAGTCGTACACCAGAGCACCCAAGGCAGCTCCAATCATAGGTCCAACCCAGTACACCTGCAATTAACAGCAAAGACAACATGTATTAGTGTTTTTGTAGATGTCACAGTAAGTGTAAGTGTACGTGTAAGATTTACAGATCATCTTACCCAGTGGTTGACAAAGTTCCTGACCATGACAGCAGGGGCGAAGGACCTTGCTGGGTTCATTCCTGCTCCAGTGTAGTACATCTAAGTGAAAGACAGCAAGAGTAGTTTAGAGTTAGGACTGCTTGTGTGAAAGGATACAACAGTCACATTCTTGGATGAACTCAGTGAGTCTCCCTGTTGGTGCTTACCCCGAGAAGATGGCCCATGAGCACAGAGAAGCCGATGGCCAGGGCAGCAGAGCCCAGGCGTCCATTGCGCCTCTCATCAGTCACAGAAAAGACGCACACGACAAGCTGCAGGGTGAGGAACACCTCCATCGTGGTGGCCATGCCCAGGCTGATTCCTGGCTGCAGCTGAAAGACCAGAGGAATAAAAGGTAACATTTATGTGTGCATTCATTACAAATACTTATGTTCTTTGTTCAATCAGATACTATTACATTATTTTATACACATTGTGATTGGTCGACCTTGTATTACATTTTCAGGCAGAATTGGCAAATATGTTCTGTGTACAAGCAATACTTAAATTGTCATAAATAATTAATTATCTTAATATTTAAGTGTATGTGAACATTTATTTTTTTAAGATTTGTAATACAGGAGTCAGAACCTATAATTAATGTGGTGTTGCAGTGGCAGGTGATCTTACCGTGTTGAGGGCCAGGTTGCCCCTCATGTTGGTCGGGGTGACCCCGTAGAGCACGGCAGCACCGGCCAGTGCGCCGAGACACTGGGCCACGATGTAGAAGAAAGCGCGGAACAGCGACATCTGAGAGCCAATCAGGTAGGCAAAGGTAACAGCTGGGTTGATGTGTCCTCCACTGATGTGGCCGATGGACTGGATGAGGGTGGCAGCCGCCAGCCCAAAGCAAAAGGCAACATGAAGAACATTAAGGGGCCCCGTGGTCCAGCGGAGGGCTGCCCCCAGCCCAAAGAATACGAAGAACATGGTGCCATAGAACTCGGCGAATACAGCGCGCCAGAATGACATGGACCTGAACTCCCACATGGTGGCAAAGGTTCAAAAAGCGACCTCTAAGCAATGGAGGGATGAAAAGTCAGGAGAAAATCTACCTAGTCACCTAAAAGGAGAGGATCTCTCTCCAAAACAGTGACTGTGTTTGAAACCTATAAAAAACAGAGCAAATGAAAAATAATTTGCTCTCAAACTGAAGCTGCCTTGCTAAAGCTAAATGCAACAACAAGTTAACTGCTCAACATGTAACTGTGAACAATCTGCTGTTTTGAATTCTGATTTCTGTCATAGAGAGCTCCTGAGTGAAGCAATTTGCCAGTCTCTGTGCATCTATGGGCCAACCCCGCTGGTTTTAGTAAAAGAACATAGACAGACAGACGTTAAGCATGTCCTGCAGACATTCAGCCTCTTTACCAGAGCAGGGTGAGCTCAGAGGCCTTTTTATAACAGCCCAGGGGCCACAGCAGCCCCACCAGGGCCAGGGGAGGGGCATGCACACAATACTACAGATCAAAACAAAATCATTTAACCCTTCGTCTGCCTCAACAGGTCACAGGTTTAAAAGGAAATAGCCAACACTTGATAATGTCATTAATCTATAAAGATAAAGCTATAACACACTGCAGTTTAAGAGGTACTTCTGAAATTGAGATGTCAGGTTGAAGTTATATGCGGGAGGACAGAGAAGAAAGCAAAATGTCAAATGCTTTGACTCATCTCATTATTTTTTCTTGGGCCTTTCAAATACAATAGAGTACCATCGATGGTATTTTTGAATTGATTGATTTCACTACTTATGTCAGGATTAAAAGTCAGTGGTAGAAAAACTTTATTCATAACACCACTGAAACCTGAAAATATAAGAGCAGTGGGCATGTGTGTAACCTGCGAGCTGGTAGAAGTTGAGTGCAGAGGGAGTTTTGCTTAATTTCCACTTCTTTTTTATATTTTTACAAGCACAGGATTGATGTCAGGGCCCAACTACTGATTTTCCATGGATTTTCTTTTTATTGTTTTCTCTGCAATGAACAGTTCACATTTACTCCAATAAAAACTGTGATCACCAAAGTACAAGCAAAGTGTTGTGCTCTCGGTTGGTACAAATGAGGTCGGTGGCAGCAGAACTGATTAGGCACAGTTTTACTTTGTTTGTGCTGAACAGGTTCGGAAGCTCAGGTCGGATAAAGCGCTGGAAAATCCACGTTTGGAGAGGAAGAAGGGAGTGCTGGCCTGGCATTGAGCTTCTGCACTGGAGCATCCTGCTGACCAGTGCCGGCCACAGCCCTCTGAAAGGAATATGCTGAGCTCACACTGCTTTTCTCCTTTCACGCATAGAGACAAAACGCTGGCAGCAACCGTTTCTGCTGGTTTCTATGGTCTGTTTGTCTTGCAATCACTATTGAATCTGTGTTGTGATTGAATGGTATCAGAGGACTATACAAATACTGTATATACATACAAAGATGTAGGTCAATTTGGAAGTTGTAATATAATGTGCTTTCTCAATTCACTTGCATGGCAGCCTGACGTTTGAAAGATTTCTCTAACAACATGGAAAGTTAACAAAATGTACCACCATCATATTATAAGCACTTGATAGAGAAAGAAATAGCGTTTTTGATAATAGTGTTTATCCTGTTGTCCTGATTCTGATAGTTTATTGGTTTGCCAGTTGGTGCAGGTGCACCTCTATTGTGATGAGTATTATGTCCTTCTCATGACTCCCGCAGTCAGTGGTAAACCACCTTTTGTGGGTTTAATCCCAGTTCAGTTTTACAGGGGAGGATGTTGAAAAGGTGCTTGCATTGTATTTTCCTGTTCCCTGGGTCCAGACTGCTGACACATAAGGCTTGTTTGAGACGAGCTGCGGCTCGCCTCGAAAGTAGACGAGAATAGCCGATCGCAGCCGGGGGAGGTCTCAAAAAACTCGCCTGAAGTCGGACAGCTCGGAGTCGGCTTCTTCTTCTTCTTCTTCTTCTTCTTCTTCTCTCGGTTTTTTGGCGGATTTCAAACAACTTTAAGGTGCATACCGCCACCTCCGGAGTCGGCTTGACTCGGTTTGCATTTATAAATGCACACGGCATCTATTGCACGTCTGTCCGTCCTGGGAGAGGGATCCCTCCTCTGTTGCTCTCCCTGAGGTTTCTCCCATTTCCCCTTTAAACTGTGGGTTTTTCTCTGGAAGTTTTTCCTTGTATGATGTGAAACGTAAGGACAGAGGGTGTCGTATTGTCATACTGATATTCTGTACAAACTGTGAAGTTCACTGAGACAAATGTAACATTTGTGATATTGGGCTATATAAATAAACATTGATTGATTGATTGATAAAGAATGGACAAATGTGTTTAATCGTTAATGTCAGATATGTACTAAGTAAATACATTTGTTCCTGCTCAAGATTAGATTCAACTTTATTGTTATTGCACAGATTACAGGTACTGAGACAACGAAATGCAGTTTAGCTTCTAACCAGGAGTGCATAAAGCAGTAAAGTGAAAAGTAATGTACACAATCTACAGAATAAAATATAGAATGAATTGAATGATGAATAAACAGTGAGGGGTATGAATACACTATATACACAGTAGCCTAGCCTAGTATTAACAGTGTGTTGTGAGTGATTCTACAATTTAGGGTACATTCCATGTCCATTGATGTCCATTGATGATAATTATAATTATTCCAACTATTTTCTTCAAAAATATCATATTTTGCCTATTATTGGAAAGCATGTTATAATATCACACAAACATTATGTGCATCCTATGCTTTATTTACCTTGAAATGTGTCATGATGTTCTTAAATTGTCAGTTTTTGCTCTGTCCGTTTTTCAGTTGAGGGTGTCTTGGTTTCAAAATAATGAATAAAAACCATTAAAGTAAATAAAAAAAAGTATTCATTTATTTCAAAAGTCTAAATACTAAAGAATAATAACATCTTTTTAATTGATTTCCTCCTTTAAATAATTTAAATATCTTAATATATGAATGTCTGCAAAAGTTCTGTCAACTATGTTACTAACAGAACTCCCCCATTTAACTCAAAAATGGTTTGTCCCAATACCATGTCACCAGCATCACATGATGCCATGTTCCTCTTTGGCAGACATTTTGAACACACTGTGGTGATTGTCCTCTAATTTTTTACAATATTTTATGTATAATAGCACATTGTCAATGAGTATATTCATTGACCGTCAACAATGTTACGTACATTGTTATGGTTTACAATTGTTTAATGATTTTAATTCAATTATATGTTCAAATGTGATGTTAACCTGTTCAAGAAAATGACATGTGGTCATCCAAGCAAGGCCTACCATTGAAATGATGGGTCAAAATAGGGAAATTGTCAACTAGGTTACCTGTCAACTAAGTTACCCAGTACTGTAATAACTGTAGTAACAGTTATTACATTTATATCAAATAAAATTAAAAAATGTTTAAGCTTTGCAACCAGTGGATATGTTACACTGAGGAATATACTAACTTGAACCACTGATTGTTCTATTGAGAAAGAACACTTTCTTTGTACTGTTTTGTTGATGTGAAATGCACCCTAAATTATAGAATCACTCTTGTATGAATATGCTAAGATATGTAAAGTATGACAACGGTAAGCAGTGCAAGTATAGTATACAAATATATAGATATTAATTTAATGATGATAAACATTGTGGAACAATGATGAAAAATGTGAATGGAAGTGGCGACGTAAAACTGACACAAAACAACAACACACTTTTGCCGAGCCAATGGAGAGTTTCATCACCAGCACGGGGTAAAACCCACCAATGAGCGCTCAGCTCGAGATACCAGCAAGTCGTTTCCCATCAAGCATTTCGCTTCTGCAGCCCGTGGAGAGAAACTGCGCCGCCTCGCCGCGCCCAAGCCCCCAGGCAGTGCGCCGGACTCAGATGAAAATATTCGTGCTGGCCAAACGGCGGTACTACACTTCCTTTTGGTTGCCAGGCCCGGAAACACTTTTTCCCATTGACTTACATGGGGAAAGAGTGGTCTGTAAATCGTTGGATAATTTTTTTTAAACTAAATAAACTACCCAGTATGAACACTTGTATAGCCCTTATTAAAAACATTCGTTCCTCAAGTTGTAAAAATGTGCTAATAACGTTATTCTGCGAGTTATTTCCCTCTGCATTATGAACGCGCATCTAACCCACGGGACCGCGCCGCCCGGCACGTTCATGTTACGTGTTCAGCACTAGTACATGCGTTTATCTTGATCTTTACCCATGGATGTAGAACGGACCCATATCGCCTTACTGCCAGCCCACGGAGCTGTAATAATGGATATATTGCACATGTTTGCTGTAATTCATCATTTGTAAAATATTATACTACAAGATTAAATCTTGTACCGTAAATGTTGTATTGTAGTGATCACTGATTCATACACTGGGGTTACATAATTCAATCCAGGAACTACAGGTTGGGGGTATTGTTTCCGCACGGACACATGTGTTGACGGTACCTACTGTGTGTCCTCCTTTTCACTTTCTCTTACTCTTCTCGGCTCGACCCGACAGCATGTGTATTTCTGCTGCTCAATAAAGCCGAACGTCACACACGCCTGCTTCGGCCCGTTGGTGACGCGCTTCTGGACCCCGTCTTGCCTCTTCCCTCGCCTCGGCGGTTTCGAACGTCACCCGTGCCTTCATCGGCCCGCGGGTGGCGCGCTTCGGGACCCTTTCTGGCCTCTCCTCTAACCGCGGCTCACGGTTCGCCTCGACGGCGCCCCGTCTGGCCTCTCCCCTGTCCACGTCTCCCTCCTCCCGGGGACACGACTCCTTCCTCCCGAGGACTTCGTGCCCGCCGCCGCTGTGCCTTCGCCTGCGGCCGGGCAGCGCTCCTCCCTGCTGGGGACCACCGGGTTTTTCACGCCTGTCCCCTCGTCGCTACATGGCGACCCTGCTTTCTGCGGCCCCCTGACGTCGGCCCGTTCCGGCTCGCCCCCCACCCCCCGGTGGGGATGCCCTCGCCCTCGTTGGGGCCCCTACCCTCTCCTGCGGCCCCGTTACATGGCCCGGCCCTCGCCGGCGGCCCCGCCCTCCTCGGCCCCTGTGGTGCTTCCTACAGGACGCGAGGATTGTGTCCATGGTTGAATTCTGGGGGGGCTTGTGTAGTGATCACTGATTCATACACTGGGGTTACATAATTCAATCCAGGAACTACAGGTTGGGGGTATTGTTTCCGCACGGACACATGTGTTGACGGTACCTACTGTGTGTCCTCCCTTTCACTTTCTCTTACTCTTCTCGGCTCGACCCGACAGCATGTGTATTTCTGCTGCTCAATAAAGCCAGATTTGTACCTCCGATGCACCGCCTCCGACTCCCTTCTCTCGGCACTACAGTATTAAATAAAGTTAATATTACCGACGTAGATTAACGTCCCTGTAGCTTCTTATTGCACTAAGAAGCTTATTGCACTGTATATATATATATATATATATATATATATATATAGTGCAATAATTCTTTCATGCTAAATGAAGCTCTGTTGCTTGGATATCACTAGATCCTGTTACAGCGTAATATAAAAGTACATAACGATTGATGTGTAAATTAGCATAATTACTAGCTAACCGCTAGCTGCTAACTGCCGCCTCGTTAATATCAAATCTATCATAATAACAAACCATTACCATGCTGTCATGAACGTGCGGTGCTGTTACGTGTACGCAAATTGACGTGCTTGATGTGAACGAGCATTTTGGGGGGCATGGTTAAAGTTGCGCATGCGCTATGAGCGCACATACGGGTACTTCTCAGGCATGCCGGGTAATCTGTGACGTTTCGCTCTCTCAAAAGTTGGGCCATTTTATCATCATGCGCGAATGAGCAACTCTCATAGGAATGAATGAGGCCCCGCCTCCCACGCTGTATCCAGTTCTTATTATACATCCATGGCCGCGCCTCGCTCTCAAGTCTGCGGGCGTCTTTGTCCCGCGAGATTTCAACGTCTCATGTAGGTGAGCCTCCAGAGCAAGTCGGACAAAATGACTAACCATCATGCAACGCACTAGCAAGACGTTGATCGCAATTGCGCAGGTCTGCGCAGGTCTCGCTTGTCTCAAACAAGCCTATTCACGGCGAAGTCCCTCCCCTTCCGGTTGAGCTCCATGGGACCTTATTTCGGAAAAGTTATGCATTGAAGTCAATGGAGAGAGAAAGATTATCTTTCGATCCCATTTGAATTGTGCCACGAATTACACATATGATGTTTGTCAATTTAAAAGATAATTTTACAAGTCAAAAAAATAAAAATGTGTCGTAAAACTGTGAAGTAACACTTTTTTTGTGTGAAACCGCTCAATGAATTACATCTCCCGTCTCGCACCACACACCAAGACGGCCGTCACGTTGACACATTTCACTTCTTTCTTTCAGAATGAGGCGAAAAGTATTAAAAGAGGTGAAAATCACTACAAGTCTGGGCATGTTGAGAGCTGTACATACACAAAAGGGGAGTTAGTCGGTTCCGTAAGAGCCAGCATGCGGGACCGGGATTCTGGGATTTGTAGTCTTTCTAGTTGCGTATTTTTCAGTCTTATATTTCAACAGTTTTACGACAAACTGTGACTTTTTTGACGTGGAAATTATTATTTAAGATTGACAAACATCATGTGTAATTCATGGCACAATTCAAACGGGATTGAAAGATAATCTTTCTCTCTCCATTGACTTCAATACAAACTTTTTCCGAAATAAGGTCCCATGAGTCCCACCGGAAGGGGAGGGACTTCGCCTCTCTATAACAGAAAGCCCCTAAACATCTCACACTGAGGTAGAAGCTCTGGCCTGATCTCGCCTCACAGTGGGGAAAACATGTATTGCAGAAAACACATAGTATTAGCCAGACTTCAGAGGGGCCGATGTAAAAACCCTCAGCAAGTGATATTTATGTTCAACTCTCTTTAAATTGACAACAATAATCCACAAATGAAGCATCTTCTCCACCATCTACAGTTCTCCTGCTCATGAATAATGATGACCTTTACGGATGGATTATCTCTTAATACCAGATCCAAAAAGCATCCCCAAATTAAGAGGTGGCCTCTTCGCTTTCGAGGGAATTATCTTCTACCAATGCTGTTTTGAAAAACTACAAAACAAAACACACGGTTTATGGTTTTCCTAACCATAAAGGAAATGCAGGCTTCCATTTCCCCTTTAAAAGAACGGAGAAGGAAATACTCTGTGTAACACTAAAGAGAAGTGAGAGTGGCACTCCCAAGTAGTTACAAACGGTTTCATGGCAATTTGTCTGAAGACTATTCATGTATTGCTCACATTGTCTTACGTATATTGAAGAGGCTATTTGTAATTGTATACAATAACTTATTTTCCCTTTTTATACTGGCTCCAACCGGAGTTACTCCAATGCAAGAATGAGAGGCACAGTTCAATATTTCATTTGAAAGTGAATACAAGGTTTCAGCAGACCAAAGAGTTAGACACATGAAGTGGACATATTAAGGCTTTGTGTTCAACAATCTGAAACGGTTTATTAGAAATGGATACCAAAACTCCCAAGCCTAAAAGCAATACAAACGCAAATGTTCAGCACGTTTTCAATCAAACACACAAGCCTCCAAAGCAAAGATCTAGTGTATCTGATAAACACAAACAATTAATAAAGTAATTGGGAAACTCTTGGTAGACTACATAGGATTTCTGCCCTCACCTCAGTATGCATATGGAAGAAAGTTAATATTGTATCAGCTACAATGTGCAATGTACTTACACTGGCATAGTAAACTCTTAGCAAAGATTTGATCATTTGCGAAAATGCACCACTCTACTATTATAATCTCAACACAAGCTTTTAGTTGCACCAACATGTTTTTTTTATATATTCTGAATATGTTTTAAAATAAAATTGTTAAATATTGGCATACATTTGTAAACCCATTTGAAGCGGAACTCCTGCTTCTTAAATTAACAAATAAAATAAGTGCATTTTACAAATCAAACATTACAAGGGGGATTCTATCATTAAAAAAATCTAGGTTTTGGAAAATAGGTATTTTTTCTTTTTCTTCATTACAAATCACAATTCACAGCCCCACGCTAATAAACAGAGAGAGAAAGTGTAAGACATCAGCACATCCCATTACAGTCATTTAAGAACAATAACAATGTCATTTGAACAGAATTGTCCATGCAGAAAATAACAGCAAAGCACAGCACTGAATGTCACCATGGACTCCTGTGCATGTCAGAATCCAACCATCTCTACCTGGAGGGGCTTCACTTTGGAAACTGCGTTAAGAGAGGAGGTCCCTTCTCCAACATGGCTGCCAACTTATAGTCTCTCTCTCTTCAACAGACTTTAAACTTGCTTTGATAGCTACTGAGGTGGCAGCCATATTCTTCTACTCAAGGTCAGGCATTTCTGGAAAAGAGACAACATTTTGATCAGATTTTAATCTTAAACTCAACTATTTATGATTGTAATATACAACAAACGCAGAACAAAATCAAGTTATAACAGGAAGTACTTAAGAAATTAAATACAAATGATGACACCATGACAAAATCAGGTCTTATTTTTTGGATGGAGTTCAGGATATTCAAACTCACTAAACATACCAATTTCGGAATTCATGCTAAAGTTAACCACCTCTTACGTAACTCCTAATAGAAGCCATTTTGATTTAATACAATTCATACTCCAGTAAGAACAACAATCAAAATTAAAGCCAGTCGAAACTTAATAACATCCTACATTGGCTTTCATATAATTTCCCCCCCAAACATTTTATAGCCTACTTAACAGATGCATGACAGTAATATTTGTTATCCTATGGGATAAGTGACTACCGATTACAATTGAACAGATAGCTCTTTCAGAATAGTACTTACTTTCATCGTCGCTGTCTGCAGATTCATGCTGCAAAACAAAAACAATGAAAGACAATTTGTCATACACTGCAGATGGTATATTTCACTTTGTTAAAATGACTTTAAACAAAACATCTGTCGCTGTAATAGATATGAAGCATATAAAAAGTACTCTGTGTAATAACATACATACCTCTTCTTCTGCACCATCTAAATCAGGTATATTATCTCCTCCCATTGTGTTCATCATCTAGATAATTGCACAGGAGACAGAAATCATTATGTCACCACCACAGTAAATCTGGACGTACTCCCACTTTATTCACTGTGCTTACCTCTGAGAATTTGTCAAAACTTGACAAGTCCACGTCTGAGTCCTCCTCCCAGTCTTTCCAATTATTGAAGTCCACACTCAGCCAGTTGCACTAAGAGAAGATATATACCGCAATGTTCATAACAGGTAATCATTTTTATTATCTCCTCCAAGGCAGTTTGTTTTTGATTATGGTTGTTTGTCAATAGGGTCACAAACTACTGGCTGTGTCTACATTGATCCGAATCAAGGTGCGGTTCCTCACATTTCTTTTCACAAAAAAAGTGCTGGCAGATGTCTGTGCACTCCAAGTAGCATTGTAGCCATTTACTTATTATGTTGATATTAAACAAGCTTTTAACTCAGTGCTATATTACCATTGTTAGAACGAAGAATTGCCATGCTTGAACTATTTTAACAGTGTTTACACACCTTCTTAAACATCATTCAAGACTTTTAAAGGACATTTCAGGAGAACAGAGTGAAAGATTGCATCAAAGTTGGATTCTAACCCAGGCCCATGCAGTGAGGACGCTTCATGGGTCTTTGCCCCAACAGGTGAGCTACCGTATTGCCACAAGTTCTTTTCTTTAGTTTTTCTAAAGAATGAAAGTTACCTTTGACTTTTCTTTTGTAAGACGTGGCCATGATTTCCCAGCCTCCACTTTTCGTAAACAACACAACACAGACCTGTCAGTGCGCCTGTATTTAGACTCCTGTGTGGAACAAAGAGAGTTTGATGAAGGCTTTGAAAGAATAAGATATGTAGGGAACTGCAACTACGTCTACTGCTGACAAACTTACTTTGGGGTCAATCTCCCCGAACAGGTCCACTGAGTTCTGTAGTTTGATATTATCTGTTCCACTGACACAGCTGTAAGGTGAAAAGAGTTCATGAGATTTCCTTTAAAAACGCCAACAATTCTGATTGTCATCATGAATACACTACAGTACAGATCAAGGACGTGATTCCAAAAAGCAATTTTAACCACATAGGAATATTTTTGTACTTACTTGAATTCAAATTTGGACTTTTTGAAATGTATTTTTACATCTTTACTGTCCTCTACGCAGAAGTCTACAAACACAGAGTCACGTCTGTCATACCACTTGGCTGCTGCAGGCTGCCTGAAGACAACGAGAAAAAAGACGGAATAATTGTCAATGACATAAACCAATATCACCCATGGTTCTTCTAATCTGACATGGTAATCAATAAAACAGTTAAAGCGTGTAGTTTATTGAAAAAGTAGGTCGGTGTCGTATTTCACAGCCTGAGGGTGGCCCACATGTACATTTAAGATCACGTTGACGAAAGTGACACTCATTAATTCCAGATTAGCATAAGAGTCTCTGTAGTCCTATGCACATCTTCACTTTACAATAATGACTGCTTCCTATAAAACAAACTAAATGATATGCCCTTCAATCAAAAAGGATCCCCTGCTAGCATGTTATTACAAACAGTGCATATATCACAGATTATCATACTTAGGGAGGCAAGTGCGTTATGGTTTATTATTAAAAACAGTAAGGACAACATTTGATTCGAAGAAGGCAGCGTGTGTTAAGCGTTTCGCTGACAGGTGTTTTTAAAGTGGTGTTAGCTTAAATTAGCTCAAGTAGTCTTCAGAGATAATCGTGACATCACGCTTTTCCAGTGCTAACATTCACATTTCCTTGGTTGGCATTAGCCTACTAGCTTACCGTTTGGCTTTAAGCGCATTAAGACAAACTTAACTAGAGGTTTATATATTCTGGAACATAATGATGCCACGTAACACAAGGCTTGATAAAGTTAGCTGTCGTTGGATTTAACGATGTCTTGACAGTCATCTAGTAGCCCGGCTGAGGCTAACTCGTGTTATTAGCTGTTAGCTTTAATAATAGCTGGTTACCAAGACTGTTAAGCTACTTAGCAACACCGTTGACGACTAAATATTAAACCCAAGACTTACATCTCCACTGTTTTTAGCAATTTATCTTCCTCGTCGGACCGCAGTATATTATAATGTAACTAGCTGTGGAGCCACGTAAAATTATAAATGAAACCGAAACAGTTAACTCTAACGTTCAAACCGCAGTTTGAGTCTCGCGTGATTTGCTTACTGCTGGTGACACGCCGACTGTCCACGGTACGGGCGCGTGCACGGGGCTTCAGACCGAAGCCGTTGGAGACAGTTCTATTCTAGAACGGGGGAGAGCTCCACTGCCACCACCAGAAGGTGACTACTACTACAGTCTGACACAAATTATCCTCATAGCTGTGTAACGGATGCAAGCTGATAATTTCAGGCCAACCCGAATCATTCGACCTTCGTTGTCTAAGGGGGAGTATTAAGATCCTTTAAATAAGTCCCTGCATTGAAAAGTGTACTGCCAAATGCACTCATAAAGTAAAACCAGGGAGAGGAGGAAGAAGTAGGCTACTCTAGTACAGTGGTTCTCAACTGGTCAGGCCTCGGGACCCACTTTTTCCTTTGTCAATAAATCGCGACCCGAAATTTTGAACCACTCAAATCTATTCAACAAAAAAGTGTGCTGTAATATATATATACGCCTTTCAGCAGACAATATTAATTAAAGTGAAGTACAGTGCATATATCCCTTCACAGAACTAAAGTATGCTTTTAAAAAAGGTTTAATGAGATGATGGAATCAAAGCTGAACTGTATTATAAAAAGACACACAAGCTGCAACCCCAGAAGGGGGGTCTGGGGGGATTCTCCCCCACGAGATTTTTAGAACAAATACTAACATATAAACTACGCATTCTGGTACACTCTGAAAAGAAAAGAAATACATCTATTACTACCCGATATATTAATAATATGTTATGCCATTGTTGTCGCGGACCCACCAGTTGAGAACCACTGCTCTAGTACTTAAATACTATTAGAAGTTCCAGAGTGTAGTAATACTCTGTTGTTACAAGCACAAGTCCTGTAAAAGTAAAAGTACAACAGTGTTAGCATCAACATATACTAAAAGTACCAAAAGTAAAAGTACTCATTATGTATATTTGCCCATTTCAGAACAATATATCAAATGTATGATTATAATTATTAATGCATTAATGTGTTTATCAAAGCTGGTAAAGGTGCAGCTAGTTTTAATTACTTTGTATTCTGCAGGGTAGCTTGTGAATGTAACTCCAGGTGTAACTAAAGTCTTATTTAAGTGTTGTCTATATTTCACATTAATATCCAAATCTGCAAAGTAACTAGAGCTATTAATTAAATGTAGTGGAGTTAAAGTACACTATTTACCTCTGAATTGTAGTGGGGTAGAAGAACAAAGTATAGCAACAAATTGAAATACTCAAGTAAAGTACAAGTCACTCAAAATGTTACTTAAGTACAGTACTTGAGTAAATGTAGTTACTTTACACCACTGGCATTAGGCTTTTTGTAAGCATTACTTACACGTCTACGTGGTCGGCGGGGGGGGGGGCTTGCTTTATCATTTTTAAAGTAGTAACTAGCTATCACAAATGTTGTTGAGCAAATAGCAATATTTGCCTAATTGAGAGGGGTTTAAGAATAATGTGGCATGGATCAAAATATCAAGTAAAATACATGACCTCAAGTATTGTGGATATTAAGTTCAAACCGTAGGCAGCTAGAATTGCATTGTGAAATTGAAGCTTATCTAAACACAGATGGTGTCTTAGCCATTACACTGTATTGTGCATTCAATGTTAACTTCATCATGATGCGTCAAGATCCCCTGCAAGATCCTCCAAAGCGAATAAGACTAAGGTTCATTTTGTGTCATGAGTCCAGGACGTCACAGACACCATCCCCCAAAAAGATTCTGCTGATCATATGCGCAGAGCACAGTTAGTGCATTTCTGCATTGGGAGATATTAAAAAAAGACGACTTGGCTTGTTGTTAATGTCTGAACTGAGGCAGGCACACATGCAGTATTGAGAGCCAAAGCATTTCACTTCACAGCTTGCTTCTCAGTCGGCTTAATAACAGATGCCTTTTTAGCATAGCACTCCATGATGTCAGAGTGAAGCTTTATCAGTTTAAGTCCCCCATAGGAGTGGAGGCTGTCAGATGCACCTGCTTAGCGGTGGTGTTTGACTTGTAGTGGTTGTCTTAGTAGGCCAAAGCACTCAAGCAGCAGAAAAAGACATGTAAACTGACAGATGACTTTAAAAGCAAACATGGTCAATTTGGGAGCAGCTTCAAGCCGTTGGACTCAGACAGGATAGTCTGAGAGGCAGTTTCACTGAGGCTTGGCAGCTCTCGATAAAACAAGCGAACAATAGCGTGAAGGCAGGGAATGAGAGAGCCGCTGGGATAGAATACCATTGCCAGGGAGCTGCCGAATGGGGACAATGGAGATGAAAATATTTGACAGAATGTGCTTTTAAATGGATAGAAGTGGAGCCAAAACCATGTCAGGCATTATGGGGGACGTGGACACTGGGGAAGTAGACACTTTGGAGATGAGAGGCTGGAGGTAGTTGACAGATGGGAGTTTCTATTGGCCACGGAAAAAGCTGTAGTTAGAGTACACAGCATAACCGTTCAATCCTAATTTTAGTCCATTTAGTGGAGGAGAAGTTAAGGCCAGATGAGAGGAAATTATACGCTTTCAAGTTGAAAGACATTGTCAGCAATGGATTTTAGGCTTATAAATCTCTTTGAAGCAAACTTATCAATCTGTAATATTATTAATACATTTGAGTAATGCAACAATTTCAAATTTCTATAGCAACATTATCTTCTCTGTAATGTTTTACAAAATAAGTAAATAGTGTTTTATTGGGTTATTCTGGCTCATTTACAATGTAAATTAATTAATTAATTATCATTTAAGAAAAAATACATCAGTGTAACCAGAATTTCTCCAAGAGCTTTCTGCAGCTAGAACGTTACTTAAAGAGGGAATTAGTAATAGCTTGCTGTGCTGCTGTCTTTTTTTAAAGTCACTAATTTGGATGCATTTTTCTGATCTGAAATCATAATATCATACATTACTGTGGTCCAGTTGACAAACATTTCCCCACCAGCCTTACTTTAATGATGCCATTTATATAATTTGTCAAGCTGCTGAAACTCCGGATGTGGTAAAGATACAGTTTATATAGCTCCAGATATAATAACTGCAAAGAAAAGTTTTGGTATAACAGATTTGTGATGATGATTCATACATTTACATAATTTCTTGCAGATAGTCAAAGAGGGATTTGTTAACATGCTTGTATTAGTTGTAAATTCAAATGTTATCTGAATTCTAAAAATTACTTTGTTACAACAGGAAAGTGTCACAAACCAAAAACAAGAAAATACTATTTTTTACTAATTTCAAGTTTCATTTAATAAAATAGCAGAAAGCAAAGAAAAGGAAAACCCTCTATTCTCTCAGCCTTTTTTTGTCTTTGTCAGAACCTTAAAATAGAATTTCTATCATTTTAATACAACTTTCCAACTCTTGATAACAAGGTTTAATTTATGACACCTTTCCTATAAATAGCAAGGGACAAGACAGTGATGACGTCAGCTAGATGAAAATGCTAGAGCTGCTCCATATACAATAAATAATGCAACAACCCCCTGGTACACTATGACGCAGTCATGTAAGGCTTTACCGGCATATGAGTACATTTTGTGATACATAGCTGGAAGACCTACATTCATGTAAAACTCATTTGACACCAAATCTACACACACACACACACACACACACACACAAATAAATCAGTTTTAATGAACTGACTACAACAGTGTTATGAGGACATGTGCTGGGCTCTGAGGGAGGTATTTGTGTGTATTAATAAGTTCACCTTATTCTCCAATATCAATAGAACAATGTAAAATATGTATTGGGTTGGATTCTCCTTCTGTTTGGATATAGTTTCAATATAAACATGTTTCATTGGTGGTATAATTAGGGAAATGTACTCAGGTACTGTATTTAAGTGAACATTCAAGTATTTCCATTTTCAGTATGTTACTTTATACTAGTATAAAGTATATCAAACACTTTACTCCAAATTATTTTTCCGACAGCTTTAGATTCAGATAAAAACTATGAATCTCAAAATGTTGGTGAACTCCTATAGGTTAAATAAAAACCTGCTTGGATCAGTTGGAAAATGCATTGTTACACATCTGAAAAGAGGGATGCTACTTGAGCTTGGGAAAAGTAGACTTTTTACAGATAGGCTATGTGGACAGCGTCGCTACAAGCATTTTATGATTTAATAGAATATTAGCATCATTAAAGTAAATCATTACTTCTACAGAGAAAATATGTCCTATCCTATGAGCTCAGTTGCAGATACTGGACATCACATCCTTTTTTTTTAAATGTATTTTTTACTATATTTTATTTGGAAAGCTTACTAAAATGAATTCTCTCTCTTTTCTTTTGCTACTACTTCCATGGTGCTAATAACCTGCTTCTAAGTTTTAATCTGACCTGAGTGCTTTTAGGTTTTACTAGATAGATAGATAGATAGATAGATAGATAGATAGATAGATAGATAGAGAGATAGATAGAGAGATAGAGAGATAGCACTTTATTTATTCAAGGGACACTTGTGGAGATGGTTTTAAAACAAAGAGAAAACTAGTACTTTCTGAAAACATAAACTAAAAACTGGGAACAGCTCAACGTGTAGGCTATTGTGTGCTCACATAGAAAGCTATGTCCAAACAATACATCTTGTCAAAAGTATCAAAAATTACATAATTGCTGTCAATACGTCGGTGTACCCTGAGAGATAGCTTCATTTGCATTATAATTGAATGAGTGGGTATTCCCTCGATGGAGCGTAGGCTGACTCTTGTGTGAACTAAGCGTGTATTGTGCGTTATGATTAAAGCTTGTAATCACGACAAAAGAAATGATTCAGTCACAGCATGAAGGAGGAAAAACACAAACCACCATAGCCAGCCAATCATGTCAGCTCAGTGACGAACTTCCTGGTCACACTTTCTCGTAAGTCCCAGTCCCCTTATTAATGGGTATGTTTGCTCCTGCACAGTCAACAGAGAGGAGGACGCGGTGTGAAAGCACAGGCACACACTCAACATGAGAAGAAAGAGCAAATTATCTGCCTGGACAAAGCTGACACACAGCTAGCATGGTTGAAGCCAGATAAGAAGAGTAACTACAAATGCTATTTACTCTGTGATACGCCTAGCCCAAGGACGTACGAGGAAGGCAAACACAGGAGAGACTGGGGACTAGGTGCAGGCTTTGGATGGCATTTGTCAGAGCCAGGACAATGATCTAAAGAGATTTGAACTGGATATACTTTGGGATATCATGTCTTGACTACAAAAAGGAATTATTTGCGGATTAGCTGCAGCGGCACGTCAGAAATAAAGGCCTCTTCTGATGGAGCACTGTTTAATCCACTAAACCTCCCTGACAGACCGCGACGAGCTACGGCAGAGGGTGAGGTACGGAAGAAATCAAAGGGGAAAACCACTTAGCTAACTGTTGACGATAAATGTATCAAAGGCTAAAGCTAACGTTGCGAAATCGCTGAATTTCCCTTTGCTCCTGCGGAGGATGGCTCAGTCAAAATATCGCCGAGCAGCTGTGATAACGCTTGTTCCAGCCCTTCAGTTTTTCTTCCTCTCTTTTTCTGTTCAACAGGACGCTTTATTCACAATTGAAGGGATTTATGGGATCACAAGGTAACCTCTCAACCTAAAGAAGTGTCAATCTTGTTTTTGCATGTGGCTGTCGGTGGGCTGTCATGTTTTCCGCGTACAGTATGACGGGTTTAGTTTCCTTTGTTTACAGTCTGAATCTCTGAACAGCTGATGCGTCCCCAGCAATGCTGTGATGCTGCCTGTTGTATATTTCGTGATACATCCACTGTCAACAGCTGCCCATGTAGAGCTATTAGATTCACTTGCACTGTCATGCACACTACAAACAAAACAAACAAAATTGATGTTGCTTAACATTTGCATTTTGCGAGCTTATAGGCCACGTAGACATAAAAGTCAGTAGAAACCAAAACAATATTGTAACCAGATCTGAGCAAAATATAGCATATTTCCCTGTAATGCCTTTGAAAATAGTATCATGTGTTAGCACTTAACCTGAGGGAGCAACTTCTGTAACTTGATGTAGGCTTGATCAAACAAGTGAGTTGTGTTTTTGTTCATATAATAATGTGCTGATTACTTTTATGTGCCTCTCCTTGCAGTTTCCTCTGATGAGATGAGTGTGCGTGCTGGCCAGGGCAGTGATGAGGTGCTGGTTTCACAGGCAGTGTGGGATTACCTGGCTGCAGCTGGGCGGCCCTGGCTCATTGACTTCCAGCACAAGCAGGGGATGAACGCTGGTATCGTCAGGCGAGGAGAGAGGGGGGGGATGCTGCGCTGTGAGGCTGCAGCCTGTAGAAGGCTCCAGGAACGGTGGAGCTGGGGTGATGGATGGACCCATCTCCAGCGAGACACGAAAAGCTTTCATTGACTTATGCCGCTGTGCCCGCAAAGAAATGAGCAAACAGGATGGGGGACCCAAGAGGAAGAGGGCTTTGCTGCCTTGTGTGGGACTCCTGGAACCAAACGGGGAGGGGAGCCTGCTCCAGCCTCCACCTCCCCAGCCTCGGCGCTCCCAGAGACAGCAGCAGAAGTTCAGGAAGCCTGTAGATGAGGAGGCATGTGCCATGCTCCACGAGGCAGCCCAGAGGAAGGACATTGACTCCAGCTTGGCGTCTCGTAGTGAGGCGGAGGACAATGGTACATGTTCAATATGCATGGGAGACATAGTGGAGAAGACTACCTTGGAGAGGTGTGGCCATTCATTCTGTCGCTCTTGCCTGGATCAAGCCTTTAAGGTGAAGAAAGCGTGTCCTGTTTGTAGGCTTGTGTATGGCCAGTTGATTGGGAACCAGCCTGCTAACGGTACAATGATCGTAGAGAGAGATCCTCATCTGGAGCTTCCTGGCCATGACGGCTACGGGTGTATCTGCATCATCTACAGCTTCCCTCCTGGCCTACAGGCAGTGAGTAGACCATGTGAAGATGCAGACATTAAGTCTCATTGATATATTCATCTATGAGTTTATAAAATGTTAGCAAAATTAGCTCAAGTCTTAAGCACAAGTTGCCTTGGGGATTTAGCCAGATAAAACGACAACCACATTCGTAACAAAAACCGTGACTTAAGGCTCAATATACCTCGCTTACCTGCTAATCTCACTTTGTAGTACAGCCCACTGAACCAGCTTTCACTCTCAAATTGATTGACCTGTCTTTTGTGATACAAAGAAGAAAACTAGATTAATCAAAATTGATTGTTTTCTGAAGCTGGTTTAGTATCTGTACGTTTTTTCTGGCCCATTGCAGCACATCTTGGCGCTTTACCGCCACTTGTTGATCTGTGAAATAGCAGGACACCATGCAAAGAACTGTGCATTCTCTATTGCATCTTCGATGATTTTATAAATGTTATGGGTCGAACTTGTCTATTTGCCCGATCCTCAATTTCATATGAAGTCATAGAAAAATATTTTTTCTTTAGCTCCTGACTCGTAATTGCCAACATATTTCAAACTCTATCAAGGACAACATAACCCCTGATGACATCAGCACCTTTTAGTCTTGGACTTTACGATGCACTTCCCCAAGAAGAAATGAAACTGTATTACAGGCTGATTAGTAATTCCCCAGAGAAGTTCTACAAACTGACCGTTTTGTGAATAATCAGTGGAGTTCCCCTTTCTCACAAAATAGATTCAGATAAATAGTTTTGGATTAAAAGGAAATGCTGCATTCAAAAAAGGCATTGTCACAAATGATTCTTAAAAAATAACACACTTGCAAACATACTTCTTACAAATGCAGTTACAAATACTGTACAAGACATGACCTTGGCAAAACAATCACTGTAGAGGCAAAGAGCCCCAGATCCAAGTAGACAGGCCATTTATTTTTAAGCCATTCATTTAAACTGATCCTGTTTTCTACACCTCCTCAACAGCCAGAACACCCCAACCCAGGTGTTCGGTACCCAGGAACTGACCGTGTGGCCTACCTCCCTGACAGCCCTGAGGGGAACCGTGTGCTGGGCATGCTGCGCCGGGCCTTCGAACAGCGCCTTATCTTCACCATCGGTACCTCCATGACTACGGGCATGCAAAATGTCATCACCTGGAATGACATTCACCACAAGACCTCATTATGGGGCGGGCCCCGCTGGTATGTATGGGCTTTTAGCTGGAGGCAAATGGCCACTGAGATTAGATTTGGTAATATTCTCAACAACCTCCCCAACAGGTAGCAGGGAAAGAGGCTCAGATGTGACTGACAGATGTAATTCAAGTTCCTGACAAGGAAATGCTTTCAGTTGATGTCCTTGGCTAGATGGCACTATTGCTGCCTGAGCTCATTCAGATGAAGTGATGGCTTTTTTATTTCTCCTGACAGTTTTGGCTACCCAGACCCCACTTACCTGGTGCGAGTGACAGAGGAGCTCAGAGAGAAAGGCATCACGGCCGACTGACAGCAGGAAAAAGACTCTTCCAGGACTATGTAAGACTTTCCGAGTGTCCTTGCGGTGGACATGACTCAGCTCCAGGTTGTGCTCTGAGACTGCCCATTCCTTAAAGGATGGCTGAAGACGAGGCCCTCAGCAAACAGGCGTCTAATGCTGCAGCAGAGCCCACTTCCCTCCACTACTTGTTCCTCTGTTTGTTCATCTTTCCTCCATAATTCAGCTTAACCTAGTGCTACAGTTGGAGGAAAGTAGTTTGAGTGCAGTGCATTCTTGTATTACACAATCCTCCACCTGTCACTGTTCGCAACAGGGCCCGTATCTGATGCACTTATTTAAGAGCATCGTGGCGTGTTGCAAATCATGGTACTTATATATTATTTAGGCCATCTAAGTTTAATGTTATAAAGACAGGCGATGTTATATTAATGTTCATTTCTACTCCGGGGATAACAATCTTTTTTCCTACAAGCACACATACTTCGTTTTATCTCCTCAGAAATGTTTAAGTTGATTGTTACTAATTATCTGTTGTAATGAAAGTACTTGTGTTATCAGGCAGAATAGCACTGCTTCAATAGAAATAATTTATTTTCAAGGGTTATTGCAATCTTAAGCACTCACAGGCACTTTTGTAAGAGAGTCTTTTTTTCTCAGTGAAGTCAGTCATAGTTTTTCTTCTACGTGGAAGAGTGCTCAGAGCAAACAGGTCTGTGCGGCTATCGGCTCTAAGCTCGGTGGCTACAAGTTGATGTCAATTGCTTGGAACTCTTCATTTGCATTCGATTTACTTCTCCCCTTCCGCTTTACTTAAATAGGAAGAATGTTCAATTGTCTCAATGCAGCACCTTTTTTTCTCAATGTGCATTTGGACTTTCCCCTGGGTTTTTGCCATTGCTCACTCCTGTTTTTTCAAGATGTCTCCCAGGTGTTGAGCACATTACCTTTATTGTGGGTATTGAGTTCATCCAATTACCAGATTTATGACGATGTCAAAGATAAAAGGGCATATAGACCAGTCAAACCAAATCAAAGGCACAAAAGCTCTTTAATTATGTATGCCTCTTTCCCTGTCAAACTGGGAGATTCGCCAGCTAATCTTCTCATTTAACAGAGAACTGTTGTAAATTCTAAAACGATAATCTACGATACAGAAAAAAAGGAAAAATGTATCTGGTTTAGGGTGGGGTATTGATCTCATTTTGTTGTGCCTTTCCTACATTCACTTTTGATAAAAATCTAGCATGATGTTACTACTGAATAGTAAGCAATTTGGGCATATTTCAGTGTTAATTGATAGGTAAACGGCATTATGTTTGTAACTATACTATCTGGCTTTAAGTACAAATACAAGACAGTTCATGAAAATATGTATACTAATGTGTATTTTCAATAAGCTTCTCTATAAAAAACATCCTTGCAGTCATAATGCCGAAAAACCGTCAGACTGGAACAGCTGTATGTGTGAAAATGCTTTGCTAAGTGCAGTAACCTGCTTGGCTAGTGATACATCTGTCATTCATTTGCCCTGTTAGATCTATACATAGAAGACCCCTTTCATCCATTTTCAGACCCTTTGTATTTAAGTTATGGGACCAACTGAAATATTTTTGGGACACAGGATTGTAGTTCACTAAAGCTACTGTGCAAACATTTCTATGCATTACGTGACTGAGGAGGAGCCAGCAGAATGGATCGTAGGAGAGATTACACATATTACAAGTTGATTGTTGAGGAGAAGTTGGAGTTTTGCTTTTTCTAATTGTGTTGATTCGTACTTTGTTGATATTCAGAAAATGTGCTTTACATTTTAATACTTGAATAAAAAGTTATGTTTGGGTTTGTGTTGGATATTCAATGTAGGACCTAAATAAAGCAGGTGCATCACGAGCAACCGAATATCAAACTTGTGTCCATTTGGAAAGAGTTTGGGTTGTCCCCTATAGTCAAGAATTGATTTGAACTCCTAAGTACATTTACCAAAGTACATTACTTCAGTACAATTTTGATTTAAATAATTTTAGCGTATTTTCATATTACATTATAATTCTAGATAATGTAGAATTCACTCACACTTCTAATGATCATATAGATATAATTAACAAATAAACAATGATGTATTTGTTATAAATTAAATTACCCAGTGGTATAAACAGTAATTAAATAAGTGCCACCTTTAGCAGCTGAATCATTAACTTGATAGACACGTTCATTCATCAATAATTACAATTCAGAAATACAATTTAAACAGACTTAAAATGGACCATTGTGCTTTAATTTAGAGTAAATTAAAAAAGCCCAACAATCCAATACAAATAGGTGTGTCTTATTTGGCCAGGGTAGTAACAGTTTTTGTAAAAAATCAATGACACATCAGTAACAAAAACGTGTGTCACCTAACTAGTATTTGAATACTTTTAGCATCATTTTCTAATCAGAGGAAGTTATTTTTAATTTAATTTAATGTATTCGTTTATTTGACGAGGGACAGTTCATATTGATGAACATTTAAAACAAATAATGCTTTAAAAACGTAAACATGCCGGATTTTAGCTTTGAGCTAGTTTCCATCCGTAGTCCCTCACATTACTCACACTAACGGAAGTTAGAATAAACAGTTGTTGAAAATAACATTAGCGCCGTGTTATTTAATTTATTGATTGTCCTTAAAGGTGGGGTATGTCATTTTGGAGAAACCAGCTCGAGTGCGCTAGAATTTGAAACTACGCAGCCGAAAAAAATCTGCCTCTTCCTTCAGACTTGCTTATGTATGAATTGGTACTTTCCTTAGCTTGACGTCACATTATTTCCGACACACACATCCCTACAAGGAAAGACAACACTTCTCGTCACACCGGGAAATAATGGCAACCACACTAAACAACCACTCCGGTGGAGTCCCTAAAAGTATGGAGGACTGCGCGATTTGCTTGGACACAGTTCATGAGAGGAAAACGTTAAAGTGCTGTCACTCTTTTTGCTCTGCTTGTATCGACTCGGTTTTTAAGTTGAAGCCTGCTTGTCCGATATGCAATACCTACTACGGAGAGTACACGGGGACCCAGCCGGAGGGCAGCATGACGCACATGCGCAGCTGGCAGCGCCTGCCCGGCTTCGAGCACTGCGGATCTATCGTCATACAGTACACTTTCCCAGCGGGGATACAAGGGGTAAGACTGACACTAAGCTACAAGCTAACAGAGGAGGCTACATATCAACACAACAGAGCTCTTGTTTGTTTGACTTCATCATGTTTGTGATTGTACATATGTCCACTAGCTGGCGCTGTTGTTTGTTATTGATCACAAGTACACAGCATGCCTGTTTTATTTTTTTTCTTATTGTTTAACAAACAATTTTGTAATTATAACAAAAGTCTAACGATAATGTGATACAGTAGACGAAGGTAGACATATGAAAAAGTATAAAAAGGTAATTTAGTTCCATGAAGATACAATAAAAGAGAAACAAAAATAACACACATGTATAAGTATTAAAGAGACTTCTAAAATGTTATTAATATAGTTTTGTCTGCTTTGCTGTATTCCTTTTAAATGTAATATCAAATGGTAATTTATGCAAAAACTTTATTTTAACAATGTTTTAGTTGGCTGAAGTAAAAATATAGATTTTGGAGCTGAAAGTTGCTAAACATAAAATGCCAGGTGACCTTGCAGTGATTGCAGTATTACACTCATGCTAGGAACCAGGAATACTTTCTCTATAAAATGTTATTTTAAAAATACAGTCCTTCCCAGTTAAATAGCTGTTTCACAAGGTGTCACCCAAACATTATTCACCAAAAAATATATATAATAATATTCAGGTTTGGGTGTAATCACAAGTTAGATGGACACAGTTGTCAATCATCTTTATAATATATATGCTTGCTCTTGTTTACCTTATTACAGCCTGAACATCCAAACCCCGGAAAGAGGTACGGCAGCACGTCTCGTACGGCCTTCCTGCCAGACAGTGAGGAAGGGGAGAAAGTCCTGAAGCTGCTGAGGAAGGCCTTCGACAGGAGACTCGTCTTCACCGTTGGTCGATCCGTCACCACAGGCCTCAACAACGTTATCACCTGGAACGACATTCATCATAAGACCAACATAGATGGTGGTCCACAAAGGTATGCACATCATTACAGTAAAGTAATCAATTTTTGTCAACCGTAAGTGTACAGAAATCTGTCGTGTTGGCACATGGGGAAAAAAAGTACTCAAGTAGTGTATTTAATATAAATTAGAGGTGCTTCTACTTTACTTCTACTCTATTAAATCCAACAGGGAAATAGTTGACTTATTACTCCACATTTTTGGACTGCTTAAGCTACCTTTCAGATTCAGAAGCCATTTTCATCCCTGTTCGGTCCGAAGAAAACTATACAATATATATTTTGTATTTATATTTGTATTCAAACTCATAGACAGATTAGCCTGCTGGGAAAGGTGAGGAATTGGTTATAGACAAAAGTATTTAATACATTAAAAAAGCTGATCTGAAGATGGCTCTATATATTTAAGTGGAGAGATCAACAAAGTAAAATAACAAAGTTAACATGTCTAGCAAATTTGACATTTGGTGGGATAAGTTGTATAACCCTATGTTGCAAAGCCTTTTCAAAATACATTTCAATGGATACATTAAAAGTCCAGGTTCAGTAAGCTTAAGGTACAGTCTTTATCCTGAGATGTACTTACTGCAGCTTGTCTTTTTCCATTCCAGTTTTGGATATCCAGATCCAGATTATTTGTCCAGAGTTCAAGAGGAGCTTCGTCTTAAAGGAGTCACACCGGATGATTGATGAGTAAAGACAATGAGAAGACATCCTTCAAATTAACTTGACTCTTTGTATTGTTACAAAGTCTCTGATTTTAAGTTCAAGGCTTGTGCAGAACTCCCTGAGGGATGGAGATGAATGTCGCTTAAGTTTTTACTCTATGAAGTCGATACATGGAACTATTATCTTGAGAAATGAAGGTTAGTGGCTTTTCCAAAGAGTTGTCAACTGTCTATGCAAATAAACCCTATAACCACAACCTGTACAGTATGTGATCCAACACAACAAAGATTACAGTTAAGTGAAAGGGGTTGTACCAATCATCAGATTTTGTTATTCCTAATATCTTTAGAAACCTGGATCACAGGTCTGGACATTGGACACAGATCAGGTGGTACAATTAGCAAACTGATAGTTAAAGCTTGCTAGAGAAATAAGATGATAATGTATTTGGTATCGTCAACGTTTTTTATGTTTAAATGCTGATATGATATTCACTTATGCCGTGGCTTAACCCCCAACAAATGCACTATTTACTAGCTGTTTGAGGACACAATTTAGCAGTTTACAAAAAACATATTTCTCCTATTTTTGGCACAGTTTAAAACATGTCAGGAAAGTCAGAAAGTATTGATGGGTAAACTTACGCCTTGTTGCTTTTGGCAGGGTATTTTGGCATTATTTTAAGACGCTTTTAGAATATCCCCAGTCTTATCCTATAGCACCTCTAATACCATAATAACACATGTTGTGCCTTTTATACTACATCAGTCAATGTACTAGTGTCAAACAAGAGTATATGGAGTCCAGAAATGTCTTTAAATCTCAAAACATTTGTGATTTTTCCTCTGAATTCCTGCCTTTTGCCTGTGGATACACTAGAGGGCGATGCTCTCCTTTTAGAAAGAAATGTTATGTGGCGTCTGCTTCGTATGCAGCTGTATCATCGTCACACACCCTCAGCCCTGCAGCACCTCCCAAACCTCATCGCCCAAAGTCAGTGAGATAGCCGAGCATCTGCTATAGATGATGAGTCATGTGTTTATATGGGGCTCGGGGCAGTTTTAGCAGCAACGTATTCACAGTGTTTCTATGACGGAGAGAACCGCTATCACCTTTTGTTTGACCACATTGAACTGACCCGCTCCTCATTTCAGTCAGGTGGTTAATGGTTAAAGCTGAGTTGTGGTAGTTACATGCACAGACACACACATTCAATTTAAGAAATCATGGTGATGATAAAATAGTTAAATGCTCATCTATTGTTGATTTAAGTGGTACATTTGTAACAAGTGCCCTACCCATCACTAGCACAAAAACACCTGAAAACGTTGTAATCAGAGGAGCTTTATATACATCTCTTCATGCAGGAAAACTGGACACACAATCTATGATTTTTTTTTTTCGGCATGCATTAAACCGAGTTACAACTGAATCTGAAACATTTCCAGCTGATCATCTTAGTGCAGTAGCATGGAGTTATGTGATGAGGAAACGGCTTTAACCCATATTTCAGTATCAGGAAGAGTGCACATGTGACAGGCTTACAGTAACTGGGCTCTGGTGTTGAGCGGCTGGGGGCGTTCCTGTGGCCTCGGATCTCAGGGCATCTGCTGCCCTCACAGAGCAGACCAGAACCCATCTGGTCAAACGTACCACCCCCCCTCGCCTTTTCTCCCACAATTCATCAGTCATCCATTTATCATCAGCATCACTTTTCATCTCTTTTCCTCTTATCAGGTTTCCATTAACTGTACTGTATGGGTTTTTTATCTGCCAATCATTTTCCTTTTTTCTTTCCTTCGTTTTATGTGAAAAAACACATTCCTGTTACTGCATTCTGTAGTTTTGTTGTTGTCTATTATAATGTATATATTCTATGACTATGTGTGATATCCCTTTAACATGAGACTGGCTTACAGTGACAGTTTGAGCTTTCTAAATAGTGGAGCAGATTGTGACATCAAAAGACAAATGGAGCACTGAACCAAATATACAGAGAAACACTGTAGGAAATGTAACCTACATTTGAATATAAGATAGAAAGCTTAAGATGGGTTCCAGAAGAACACATCATACCATCTGACTGTATTTCTTTAGGCATTATTGT